AGCAGGAACAGTCTTCAGCTGATAACCTCTCCATTCAAATCGAAATGCATCATCGCTGATGGCAGTGTCGTGTGTTCAAGTGTAAATGTGCCTGTTTTCTCTCACCTCATGAATAGCACCTTGGGTTTAGATTAAAGTTAAAACAATTTTAATGATTAACTGTTTCAAAAGTTAAGAAAAAGAGCAACTCAATTATTATTATTTTCCTGTTCCTCTCCTTAAAGACAAATGTAAGCTGGCAGGTCCAGTGCTAACCTTACTTGTATTATATATACATGATACATATAATATGATGATATATCCTATATCATGACATATATACACACACACGATATTTTCATGATACCATGATATTTTCATGATATATGTCTGATATTTTCATTTCCAGCCTGCAAACCATTTGGAATTAGAGCTCCAGGTAGATGAGTAGGCAGCAGCCAAGTGCCATTTTCAGACTAGAGGAGCATTTTTTTTTATGTTATTCATGTAATTCCAACTGGTAAACTGACACCAGGTACTGTCTTCTATTTGACAGGAATAACACAAAGGGTATTCAGTTCTTTTTAGCAGTAATCCTGTGGTATCCACAAGTTACTAGCTTGCAAAATGTGACACCTGGTCTATTATCACTTAACTGAAGTACTTCTTGTTTTATTGATGTGCTTTTCTTCTCAGAATAAACAGTGCCAGTTAGTACGTTTGATCATTAAATATCTCTTCTGCCTTGGAAGCTTACAGCTGCAGGGAAGGAAAACATGATGACAACAGGGAGGTGCAAATGAAATACTTGTTTACAGTTTATGTTTGTAATTCTGGAGAGAATGACTTTGTGTTCACATGACTGGAGATACGGACTCCTGCATATACACAACTGAGGAATTGTCCTGCCGCTTTTATGTTATAAAGGTAGGAAATAGTGCTTGAAATACCGCTGTAGGATGGGAAATCCCACTTTCAAAGGAATGGCTGGTTCTGCCGCAAGAGATGTGGGGCATCAAAGTTGGAATAAGTTATTTAAAAGGGCTCCTGTTATAACCATTGGTTTTTAAAGGGGTTTGGTGATTTAGTGGTTGTAAGGAGTTTAAAAAAGCTTCAGGACTGTCTTCCCCCCAGCCCTCACCAGATTTTCACAGGCACATTCCTAGCAGTGTTGGCCCCTGAGCTTCTCCTTTCCCTGGGTAGAAACCCATTATTGTCCTATTCTTACACTGCAGCTTACAGCTTGGCTGTGGCACATGTGCCACAAGGTTCTCCAGGTAGATTTTGTTCCCTGCACATTTCTTCTGGAAGTTTTCCTTCAATAAAGGAAGAGGCCGGAACCCCATCTCAAACCTGGGAAAATCGGCATGAAAAGAAAGTGACACAGCAGGAGATTTGCCCACGTGCTACCCTTACCTACGTGCCCAGGGGCAGGGCCTTTCTCCCAGGGTGCCCTGCCCCTGGAGATGAGAGGCTACAGGGCTTGGCTTCCCTCTCCCCTATCTTCAGGGAACATCCCTTCTATAAACCCAATCCCCTGATTCCATCTTCGGTTTTGTGCCATGCTGCGAGGCCAACATGGAAGGGTCATACAATGTGACACTAATGACATTTCAGTAAAGATACATTTGGGTGTTGGTGAGGGTGAGCTTTCTCAAGCT